TGAAGGGAGTTACTCGTGGATTGAACCAAGAAGTAACAGAGGAATGGAACAGTGATCAGAGGAGGAGAATTACTTGGGGTTGCCGGAACTTAGAAACGACGTTGAAATGTTTCAAACCGAAACCTAAAGGCATATTCTATTTCTATCTCCTTCCCTTAAACCTATGTTCTGGGCATGCCTAGGGAAACTCCAGGAACTCTAAGTTATTAAAAATCAACCATATATGTATGCTAAAACTTGAATTACAATATGTTAATTGTATGTGTATATGTTTGAATTTTGTTTAAAGTTTATCGCATAAGTTGTGATTTTAACTTGTTTAAATTGTGCATAAGAGGTTTACATAATGTTTAGGGTTGTTATGGACTTAAAACACTAGTCTTAGGACCTTAACGAAGGAAGACGTAGTCGCCGGAGCCGTGGAAGACGAACTGTCACAGTTCGGTCGACCGGTTTAGTGTACACGTCGACCGGTTTGTATGAACCGGTCGACACCTTGGTAATTCAGTCGACCGGTTGGTTGAAACCGGTTGACACCTTGGGGAAAAACCTCAACTGGTTATTAAACCAATCAACATCTATGATGAATCAGTTGATATCTTTTAGATTCAGTGGATTTTTGCAAAACAGTTGATATCTAGGGATTTTACATCAACCGGTTTAGGCGAACCAGTCAATATCTAGAATTTTGCATCAACCGGTTTAGGCGAACCGATCAACACTTGGGATTTTACATCAACTGGTTCCTGGAATCATCATATGGGTTGTCCAGTGTTGGATTTTGGCACGGGAGTTGGTATCTAGGAATGATTGGGCCTGGTTAAATAATTTTAATGAATTTCTGGGACTCGACAATTAACTGGAATGCATAATAAAAAATAGTATGCTAGGTTTGGGATAAAATTAACATAATGGTTAATTTATGGATATTGTTTTAAACTATTTTAAATCAATCAACTGAATTGAAATAGTTTAATCATGCTGTGGATGTTTTACAGTCTATTTGAGATGCATGTTAATTTCTTATTCTGTAATTAAATGCGTACTACTTAGAGCTATTTTATTGTTTAGATTAAATGCAATAATTATATATATATGATATTATTCATGATATTCTGGACTATTTGATGTACCGTTTTATATTTGTACATCATGGATTAGATTAATGTGCTCGGTTTATATTTTTGATTAGCATTATGTCATGTCTCAGACTCGAGGAGTGTCACACTTACTTTGGGTTATAATTGCTGAAATATTAAACTTTAATCTACAATTACATGGATTACGGTTTTGGAATTTAATTGCTGAAATATTAAACTTGATTCTACAATTACTTGGATTATTGATTTGGACTTTAATTGTTGGATTATTAAAATATGTCTGTCAATTATATGGATATTGTGCTGGATTTTAATTGATGAACCATTAAATACTGGCGTTATCAATTATATGGATATTGGGGATGTATTTGATGTTCAATTGAGTGTGAATCATTTATGGATCATTTGCATTATATGCACCGGTATGGGACGGTGGCATATTGGAGATAGATTAAATAAGAAAGCTAAGTCCTACTTCTTCATACATATAGAATGGATTAACTAAAACAGTTAAATCCTACATGGATGCATGTCCTGTCAACTAAAACCGTTGAACGACATAACGGATGGTTGTTTTACTTTTCTGTATTAGGAAGGAAATGGATTTTGAATATAAAATCCTATTTATTTTTAGTCTGTGCAGTTGAACAAGCTGAACGACTAACTGGATTTCTTACGGATGTTTAGTCTGTGCAGTTGAATAAGCTGAACAACTAACTGGTTTTCTTAGGGATGGATATGAGAGAACTTTAAATATATATCATTATGGTACCGCTATATGAGCTTAAGTCTCCTGATCACGGTTAGGGTGCGTATATCGCCTTGGATGGATAACTGGACCTAATGACGTTCCCTGGTAGGTATAGGTGTGCATGACTACGCTACGTGCATTTTGTGTGTTACCTTCTACTCAGGTGTGATGACTATAGGTTAGTGAGCGTCCTATAGTATGTATCTATATCTATATGGACTATTTTAGCTATTGCCGAGCTATTTAGGATGTATCTGCGTATCGGATTTATGTATGGATTATAGTAGGATGGAACTTGCATGTGGGCCTGACCCACTCTTATTTTTCAGGTATTCGTCGATACCAGGCTTAGAGCTTGATTATGATGAAGCAGATACAGACAGTCACTCTTCCGACTACATAGGAGTTCCTTTATTATTTTAGTTTTGGATTTTGGTTCTGTATTTCATTTACAGTTGGGGATTATTAGGGGTCCACTTGATGGATTCCCGAGTTGTACGGATTGGAAAGATTAAGTTATATTAATGTTTTTATTCGTTTGAGGATTTTTTCATATTAGAATTCTTTTCAGCTTACTATTTTATTTTAAATTCTTTTGTATTCTTGCTTGTTTACATATTAATTGTTTGGTATCCCTCGAATCTGTGCTCGGACTTGATCACCCGTGACTCTAGAATTGAGGGGTATCACAAGAATGGCCTGGCCAACCATTTCTTCTAAATCAGTCCCTCTGTAGCACGATGTCGGGTTAAAAGTCAATGATTGTTTCGATTTGTTAGGGGCAATGAGAGCATGGTATCGTGTGTTATATCGGTATGACGGTGTAGATTCGGGTGGTTAGTCTTAGGTGTCGAGGTGTGTTAGGTGGGACCAAGTATCCAATAAAGGTTTGTGGTGTGACCACTTGATTATCGAGGATCTGTTTTGAGGATTGTGTCCTAAGTACGAGATAGTGCGCTGTACTGTTTTGGTGACTAATGTCTATGCAGCCGTTTGGGATTCATTATTTAACAATCTTAAGGTTATAGGTGTAATGATTGTCAACAGGGGTAGTGGTCGTTGGTAAGATTATGTGATGGTGTAGATGTGTGTTAGATGGCGAGTATTGGTTTGACAGTGACACGTAGATTTGAGTTTGAGTTTGAGTTTGATTGTGAGATGGATAGGGTTCCTTGTCTGGGATTTTGTGTATCCTTTAAAGGATGAGTTGAGTTAGGATGTTGTCATGTTCAGGGGTCTTGTGACCATTCTTGTTTCGGGCTCCGAAGCCTTGTGTAGCGGTGTAGAGGGGACCAGTGTTGGTTTTAAGTCGAGTGTTGAATCCAGCGGGTTTTGTGTATGATGTTGTGAGCGGTGAGTACCCTTATGGGGTGGTGAGCATTGGGTCCTTCTGGCGGCAATGTGTGATTGCCGATTGGCGTTAGGTCAAAGGCAATAAGGTTGTTGAGTTCTTAGTCATGTAGTTTGATGAGGTATTTCTCGGAAAGGTGTGTGGCTGTAGGTCTCCTTCTTTAAGGAAGGTGGATTTCGGGGACGAAATCTTTTAAAGTTAGGGAGAATGTAATGTTATTACTTATTTGTATATGTATATATATATCTATTAAATGGAAAAAAAAAAAAAAATGTGGTGGGACCCACCAATTTTTGGTTTTGTGGCCAAGAGGCCAACTTTGGCCTCTTATTTTCTCTTCCTCACTTTCTCTCTCAGCACCAGATCCTCTTCCCCTCTATTTTTTCTTTTTTCTTTTTCTTTGTTCTCTAGCTTTCAAGTTTGATTAATCTTCAACCACTTGGAGTTTTTGGGTGCTGTTTGCGACAAAACGGAGAGCACGGTGAGATCTACGTGTGAGTACAAACAATTTCAGCTTTTGGCGTCCTATGGGATTTCGAATTTGAGACCCATTTTGAGGATTTTTCTACAAATTTGAGGTAGGGATGTTCTAATCCATGACTTCTTGGATTTTTGTGAATTTTCCTTTTTAATTTAACCATAAGCATGCTTAATTTTAATTATTTTGTCCATTGCTATTGTAGTTGTATGTGCTCAAAATGACAAATGTGTTTTACATGTTAATTAGATTATATACATGGCTATTTCCATTATTGTGAAGAAGCATGATTAATTTTGGTATATGGTGTAACATGTGAATTCTCAATTGCTATGGAAATTGATGTTGTGGTTATGAAATAATTGTTTGGAATTTCCTATCAAGAAAAAAATAAATAATAATAATAATAATAAAATGATAATGATGTAGAAGAGCATGTAGAATTTTATTATTAAATTGTGCTTAGAAACATGAAGTATTCATGCATCCATTGGGAATAAAAGAGAAAGGGAAAAGTGTTTTTAGAAAACAAATGAAAATCTTTTTTGGGGAAATTTTTTTGAAATGTGTTTGCAAAAAAAAAATCGGACGCCTAGGAAATGTCTAGTTGTCCGTGGTGTTAGTGTAGTCTAGAAGAGAGTGTGGTTGAGTTAACTAGGTCGGATGCGACGCCTTGGAGGTGCCTTGTGGTCGTGGATAGTTAGCCAATCCTCCTTTCGTGTTGCCTTGGAGGTGCCTTGGGTTAGATTACACTAACGGTTTAGAATTTGAAACGGAGATGTTTCGGATAAGGGGAGCGACATGGGCATGCATTACACTTCATTATCATACATGGTATACTTGTGACTTTGATGACAATTGTGGTTATATTTGACGTTGTGGTTATGGATTGTATCCCTGGTATAGTATGATTCCGTTCTCTTGATCTCTATTCTATACGTGGATTCACGGGGTCATAAGAGGTGTGTCTTAGATACCTCCTACTGAACTTATGCTCACTCCATTATTTTAACATTTTTCAGGTTTGGGAAAGGAAGTGGCGGACGTTGTTCCTCTACAGGTTTTGATGGGTTAGTGGACTGTTTGACCTATTTTGTAACCATGATCTCATATTATTATTATTATTACTATTATTATTATTTATAAACCTTGGGATGACACGTAATTATGTATTACCATAGGAAAAAATGGTAACGTCTTTTGTTGACATCGAGTTTGGGTAAGGACCCAGTTAGCGACTCGGACCCTCTGGTTCGAGTCATTACAAAAGATTACCACTGGGATCCAATGTCTGTAGACTACAGTTGTTGGGAAACAAACTCAGAACTTTTCCACTAAAGCTGTTATTTTGCATATCAGGACTCCAAGAGTACTAGTACTCCTTTTGATCAAACATGATGGTATTGTGCCATTCAAACCATTATTAGATAAATCTAGAACTTGAAGGTATTTTGTATTGCATGTTGATTGAGGAATGTTTCCAATGATGCTATTATTTGAAAGAGAGAAGAAATAAGCATTGGTGAGGAAATTACCAATAGTAGGAGGGATAAAAGAGCTGAAACTATTGCTTGAGAAGTCCATGTATTCAGCAAATATTCCTGGTTTTGGGATTTTCCCATGGAACTGGTTAGAGTGTAGTTCAAGGACACCAAGGATAGCTTGAACAACGTAGGGTACTTGAAAACCCGACAGGAGATTGTGAGAGAGATTCAAGTGATAGAGCATTCCATTACCAACTTCCCAAATCCAATTTTGTATTTCCCCTTCAATTTGGTTGTCAGAAAGGTCCAACTCGGCCAGTACCGATTGGTTCTTTAGATCGGGAAAACTTTCCAACTTGCAAAAAGCCAAATATAATCCTTCAAACTGGGGGATCGAAGACAAGCTTGAACCACTGCCACTATTTGTATGGATTGACAAGCCGTTGTATGAAAGGTCAATGAAAGAAAGATTGTGCAGCCTATAAAAATTTTCCAGTTGTATTGAACCACTGAAGTTGTCGAAATTGAGTACAAGGACGGTAAGCCTTTTGAGTTCAAAGAAAGACATGGGAACCGACCCTTGTAAATGGTTACTTCCCAAATTGATGAACTCTAGTAGAGAGGAGGAAGCATTAGAAATTTCATCAACTTGACCATCAAATTTGTTAAATGAAAGATCAATTTTTGTCAACGATGGAAGATTCAAAAGAGATGATGGAATGGTTCCACTGAGTGAATTATGGGCCAAGTATATGATGGAGAGATTCTTCGAAAATGATGGAATTGGACCAGTAAACATGTAGTTAGCCAAATCCAAAAGAACAAGTTGAGTAAGGTTTGCCAATGAACTTGGGATTGGTCCAGTGAAGCTGTAATTAAAAAAATCTGTCGTAGACAACATCCGAAGGTTACCAATAGAACTTGGTAATCCCCCGGAGAGCTCCATTCTGGGAAAATTCTGGAAAATAACCCTGAAGTAATTCATTGACCCCTTAGTCAACCGTATGTAGAGTTGGTACGTGGAAGATGTTTTCCGGAAATGTTCCTTGCAAATTAGAATCCACGACATATAATTCTGTCAAATTGGTGAAGTTTGCAAAGAAATTTGAAACTGGGGCAGACAAATTGTTCTCACTCAAATTAATCACCGAAAGGGACTGAAGATTCTCAAGAGAAGAACAAAGAGGCCCTGAGAGATGACAGAGTGACAAGCTCAAGACTTGAAGATTAGGTAGTGAAGAAGATATGGCTTGGCACCATTCCTCACCCATGGATGATATATTTACACCATCAAGACGGAGTTCTGTGATCTTTGTGAGAATCTGAACAAGCAATTTAGATATGAGTTCTCAAGCTCCAAGTAGTAGTTCTGAGAGAAATCCAATGAGACCAACCTTGTCAAGTGCGAAATTCCAATAGGAAATCGCCCTCTCAAGCCGGCATATGACAAATTCAAATATGTCAAACTAGTTAGCTTCTCAAACCCAGAAGAAATTTGCCAAGAGCTGAAGGTGTTATTAGCAAGATTCAGACTTCGAAGATACTTGAGACTGAAAAGAGTACTTGAATTGTTGATTCCTCGAGAGATTGATTCATTGCTCAAGTCTAGACCAACAACATGACCCATATCGTCGTACGTTACACCACCTCATTCACAACAATCTGTATTATGATTCCAGTGCCGCAGCCTGGTTGAAAAAGGAGAATTGAATTTGAGGTTGTCCTTTAACTGGAGCAACAAAGTTTTCTGATGGTCTAAAACATTGGCTATCAGCTGGAATGCTAGTAATACAAAGATTGAGAATGTGGTGATCAAGAAAAACCATGGAAAGATCGGAAACCTCATTTTTAGGCAACAAGTGAAGTTGAAGTGAAAGAGTTACTGTTATGGGCAGTGACTTTAAGATGGAGCCTGGGAAGACAAATTAATTTGACTTCTAGCATAAAACAATAGCTTGACTCCAAATCTTTGGATAACTATAGTTTGTCGATATAATTTTTGCCGTCAAACTCTTCAGAAACTAAGGCCCTGCTTGGAATGGAACTCCCAAAACAGTTTTCTGTTTTGGGAGTTATAAAAAACAGTTCTTTAGTTTTTTGGTCTGCTTGGAGCCTATTTTCACAGAACAGTTTTTAAAAAACTGGGAACTGATAGTATCAGTTTTTAGAGAACACCTTTTAGGTGTTTTGAGAGTTTTGAAACTCAGTTCTCATTTTTTAGAAAACACGGAGAACGCCCCCAACTTAAAAAAATGACGTACCTTCACGCTTGTTTAAAACACTCTCTCTCCTCTCTGATAGACCTGGCGACTCCTCTTTCTCAACCCCCTCTCTCTACTCTCTAGACCTGAGGATCCAGACTCATCATCATTCCTCAACATCTCTCTCGCCCCATCAGTAGATCAAGAAGCCCTTTAGCCTTCACATAATCTTCAATCGCTGTTTCTCAAACAAAGCCCTAAAAAATACACCATCTCTAAGATTCACTCTACTCTTGTTATCGATCTGGTAAAATAACTTCGATTTGCTTCTTCTTTTTTTTTCCTCAAGTTTTATTGTCGATTTTGTTGGCTGAATTTGCTTTGGTTGTGGCTGGATTTGGGTTTTCTTGTTTTCCATTTTGTTATTGATGGGGTTTCTCTTTTTATATATATATATATATATATATATATATATATATATATATATATATTGTATATGCCTTGGCCTTTGTCTTGTAAAATTAATGCAGTCCATTCAAAAAACGAATTAGGGATTTGTCTTTTATTTTATTTTATTTTATTTTTTTGTTCCCTGCTTGGAAAACCCATAAACAGATAACTATGAATTTTTTTTTCTTGTGAACAGAGAACTTGTGAATTATAAAGAACTGTTGGAGAATTCTATGAGCCTAAGACTACATACATACATACATATATATATATATATATATATATATATATATATATATATATACATGTGTTAAATGTATATGTGATATTTGCTTGCAAGAGGTTCATGCTACATTGGGCCATACACCATCCCCTTCACAACCTATCTGCCGATTTGGACTGTAAGAACATTGATGAGGAAAAAAAACGTAAGACCATTGATGAGTGGATTGCATATTTAATTGTCTCCTGAGGATCCTAGTATTCGCGAAGTTGAGTTTGGAGATTGAATTGTGAGGAGGGCAGAATGAGAATCAAACCGTGGAGAGTTTATTATGTTCTTGTATAATAGCTAATTTATGATATATGAGCATTGCTGCGCTATTTTGTTTTCAAATAGCTAATTTAGATTGAATATTAAATAAATTTACTTTAATTTGGACTGTCTATTAAATTGCTAATTTATACTAGTTTTGCTCATATCATATGCAATTGATTGATTTACTATTGTTTGTAGGTGTAACAAAATGCACCTAGATTGAAGGCAGCCATAGTTTTTGGCCTACGAAGGGCTGATTTATTGATGTAGTTGCAACAAGAAGAGAAAAGCAAGTTGCAAGCAATTGTATATGCCATTAATATTTTTGGCATAATTTTTTTTTCTTCTTTTTTGCAAGCTTTACATAGAGGAGTGACTAAGATTACCAAGCAACGACTATGTAATATATTTTCATTTTTTTTTTTTTTTCTAGAAATAAATGCAAATTTTAAATGTATGTAGCAATGATTAATGTAATTTATATAAATACATCTTATTTGGAAATGTGGATGTTGGATTTAATTTATTTTATAATTTTTATTTTTTGTCTTGATTAGCTAATTCTGTAATTTTTTAATGTTTTGTTTTGGTTATGTATCACTAAACTTATGTTTGTACAACTAAAAGTGCACATGACACTTGAAGTGATTTATCTAAAACTTTTATTATATTTACATTTAGTCAAGTTTTAATTAAACTTGATATATTATAGCTAAAATGAATTCACCTCTAACACTTATTTCTTTAAAAAATTAATTATATTAATAGTTAATATCATAAATTAAAGAAATAAAAGAGTGAGGTACAATAATATTTTTATTTATTTTCTTAGTTCAAAAAACTATTTTCAATAAATACAAACAAACAGTTTTATGAGTTTTTATTTTCATGAAATTGTTTTGTAAATTCTCTTAACCAAGCAGGTTTGAAATCTGAAAAAACTAAAAACTATTCTCTGAAAATTATTTTTGAGAATTGTTCTTGTGAATAGTTTTCATAAATCCATTCCAAGCATGGCCTACATTTCTTTCTTGTATAACTGGTGTAAGAAATTGAACTTATCAAATTGATAGTGATAAATCACCCATTCTATGTTAAACAGTGTCAAAGTTTAGATCTATCTGCAATCATTTTCGAACACTTCGTCTAAGATAAGACGAATAACAAGGAAGCTTCTTGTTTTGTCTTCAAAATCATTTATTTGTTTATGTTTGAACTTTTCATTTCATCCCAGCAGATGAAATATAACCCTCATATGTCCATGATCAAAGCAAAGAATTTTGGGCTTACTTTGGTAAATTGTTTGAGAGAGTAGATTATTTTATTCTTAGGAAATCAAACTACAGTTAAGTAAATTGTTCTTTAAAATTTGAGTATTGCCTCTTAACTATTTTAATTACTACAAATCATTGGAAGAGTCTTCTAAATCCATTGTTCATCTGTTTGCAGGTAGAGTTTTCTAACTTGTCATGTAGCATTTGTGATGACTTAATGAGCATCCCTTCTAATTCAAGAGTTCAAAATGTTGGCAGGAAAGAACTAAATGACAAAAAGGAAAAAACTAAAATAAGATATATGTTGTTGTCTCAGACACAAAAATATAATATCACAATATAACAAATGCGACAAAAAAAAAAAAAAAAAAAAAATTCTTTTTCAATTTAGCCGCCCAGTATGTATCATTACGTTTTTTCTTATTCATCTTTGTCACTCTAGATAGTGAAAGCTTGGTCATGAAATTCAGTATAATATATATAGTAGGACTTAGTAGTCAATTTGTCCTACTTTTTCTAACGAGGACACAAATTAATTAACTCCATTCAACATATTGTTTTATTTGGAGTTGTTTATTCATCCTGATTGTAATCTCTTCTGCACTCCAAAGTTATAAATTTTTTTTGGTTTGTTTTGTTGAAGTTGTGGTGCACTCATAGGCGTGAAGCTTATGAAGAACAAGATCGAACACTCTCTCTCTCAGCCGCACACAATGTAACAGCAGTCTCTTAGTTATATATACCACCTAAGCATGGAATTGCGACAATAGCAATTTTCCGGGTTCTCTCTTAGTTATAGATACAGTTTGCTTGGTGGTATTCAGAGGGTGGTGGTTGTGGATAAGGCAGAATTCAATCAAAACCAAATAATCATAGAAATTGCCAAGAGATTTGGGAAATTCATAAACTATTCCAATCAAAAGTCAATTATTTTCTTAGTCTATTCAATGGGAAAAGTAACACTTAATAGTTTTGTCTATTAATTTTAGAACCAATTTGTCCATTCTTTTTACCTCAATTTCTCATACCTATATGCTAAAGTCGCAATTTCCATCAAATAGACTCTATATTTAAATTAATAGTTTTGTCTATTAATTTTAGAACCAATTTGTCCATTCTTTTTACCTCAATTTCTCATACCTATATGCTAAAGTTGCAATTTCCATCAAATAGACTATATATTTAAATTTAGGAGTGACAATGAAATTGAAAATGAGAGTTCCACTACACATCCAAGAAAAATATATTGTGTAATACATATTTAAAGACTATCATTACAGTATATTGTATAATTACAAAGTGTTTGTGAGAAATGAACCCAGCAACATAGTAAATGAGTCTGTTGCTCAGGAGTGTTGTTGGGTATCTATATATATATATGTGTGTGTGTGTGTGTGTGTGAGTGTGTTACAAAGCAATTGATGACCCAACAACCATAAAACAACATACCCATCTGTAAGACGCCCCAATCTCAAAACACAAA